GGAGGCCGAGACGGGCGGATCACGAGGTCAGGAGATCGAGACCATCCTGGCTAACACAGTGAAACCCCGTCTTTCCTAAAAAAATACAAAAAACTAGCCAGGCGAGGTGGCAGGCGCCTGTAGTCCCAGCTACTCAGGAGGCTGAGGCAGGAGAATGGCGTGAACCCGGGAGGCGGAGCTTGCAGTGAGCTGAGATCTGGCCATGGCACTCCAGCTTGGGCGACAGAGCGAGACTCCATCTCAAAAAAAAAAAAAAAAAAAAAGTAGGCTTTGCCATTTTGCTCAGGCTGGTCTCAAACTCTTGAGCTCAAAGCGATCTGCCCACCTCTGCCTCCCAAAGTGTTGGGATTACAGGTGTGAGCCACTATGCCTAGCCGGCAATTTGTTCCGTAGCAGAAAAGCTGAAAGGATCCTCTCCTACCCTGCCAGCCCTCTCTCAGGCCTCAACTCTTCCCCTTTTCCTTCCCCTGCCGTTAATGCTTTTTCTTCTTTTTCTGCAGGTCTCCCACTCCCTCCCTCCAGTACTGCGAGACCTGTGACACCCACTTCCAAGATTCCAACCACCGCACATCCACTGCTCACCTGCTCTCACTGTCCCAGGGTCCTCAGCCTTCCAACCTTCCACTTGGGGTGCCCATCTCCAGCCCGGGCTTCAAACTCCTACTGAGGGGGGGCTGGGAGCCAGGAATGGGACTGGGACCCCGGGGTGAGGGCCGTGCCAACCCCATCCCCACTGTCCTCAAGAGGGACCAGGAGGGACTAGGCTACAGATCAGCACCCCAGCCCCGAGTAACACATTTCCCAGCTTGGGATACCCGAGCTGTGGCTGGGAGGGAGAGAGCCCCTCGGGTGGCCACGCTGAGCCGGAAGGAGGAGAGAAGGAGGGAGGAGAAAGACAGGGCTTGGGAGCGGGATCTAAGGACTTACATGAACCTTGAGTTCTGACTTTGGTAAAGTCTGACCCCGGTCTGCTGCTGAAGTCTGAACTTGGGCCTCTGACCTGGGCCCTTTGACTTCCCCTTCTTGGGATCTGCCCAGGTGCAGATCCTCAGTTTTTGGTCAGTGGACTCTGTCTTTGTAAGAGATGGGCTGAGAGTGATAAATAAATCAACCTTTTGTGGTTTATTCACTTTTCTGGAAGCTATTTTGAGGAAGCCAAACAATCCTGGGAGCCACATGCAAGTCCCTCCTGAGCCAGAAGGGGCAGCCTCTCCAGGTGGCAATGATAAGGTCACCTCCCTGCCAATCTGGGTTCACTTTCAGGTCCCAGCCCCTCCTGGGAGTGCCCCACCTATTCTTTCAACCCTCCTGGACCACGAATTGCCCAGCTCCATGCAAGTCTCACTTCCCCCAAGAGGAGTTCCCTGACTACAGCCAATTCACTGATTTCACAAACATAAGTCCATATACTATGTGCCAAGAATACAGGTAAAGACATTCCCAACCCTCAAAAAGTTCATGGCTGAAGAGCGAAACAGCCATGTTATCGTTTTTTTTTTTCTTCTTTTTTTGAGACAGAGTTTCGTTCTTGTCTAGGCTGGAGTGCAATGGCGTGATCTCGGCTCACCACAACCTCCGCCCGGCAAGTTAAAGTGATTCTCCTGCCTCAGCCTCCCAAATAGCTGGGACTACAGGCATGCACCACCACACCCGGCTAATTTTGTATTTTTAGTAGAGATGGGGTTTCTCCATGTTGGCCAGGCTGGTCTGGAACTCCCCACCTCAGGTGATCTGCCGGCCTCAGCCTCCCAAAGTGCTGGGATTGCAGGCATGAGCCACCACTCCCAGCCCATGTTATCAAAAATACAGGGTAATAAGGGAAGTCAAAGAAGGCCCCTAGAGATGAGAATGGGTTAGGGTTTTGCTGGAAGAGGCCAGTGTGATAGGAAGGTCTACGATTATTAAGCTTAGATGAACTGGGACCAGAACTCTGGTCTCCAAATCTAAACTTTAAGTCAAGCTTTTTCATTCCACCTATTTGTGTACACTTTTCTTTCCCACACTTCCCAACCCTCCCACCACCCATCCCCTTGTCTTGCTCATGCCAGGCACAAGAAGAGCTCACTGTTGTGAAAAGGAATTAAAATTTGCAGAGAGGGGGAGGGGAGGGCTGTTCCAGTCGCAAGACTCCTCATTTTTTCCTTTCTAGGAAAGCCTTTCACGAAGGCTTGGATGCGAAATGGAGGAGTGGTGGGGAATGTGGAGAAGAACCCAGGGGCAGGGGGCTCTAGGGGGGCGACCCAGTTCAGGGGAGCATGAGAAGCTCGGGAAAATGAGGAGTTGGGTTTAAATTAAGGTCCTGGCCCTTGCTAATCTCAGCTTGGCGCTCCGTGGTCTGGCGCGCACGGACAGCGCGGGGGATACGGGGGCGGTCGATTCGCAGGGTCCGCCCCATGAGCTGCGGCACCGCCCCCGCGGGTCCTTCCCGTCCCGGTGCAGCTGCTTCCGGGCTCCGCGGCTCCCAGCGGCTCCCCGAGGCCGCGGCGCCGACGCTGGGCCCGGGAGCGGTCCTCGCGCAAAGCGCCCGGACGCCTGAGTCCTGAAGTAGGCCCGCACTTTGCCTCGCGACTGGGGATCTCCGAGGACATCTTAGTTCTGACCTTGTGGAGGCCGCGTCTCTGCTGCGTGTTCGCGGGCCAATCGGGCCACTTTGTAGAAATCATCCCCCTCTAAATCAAGGGACGAACGCTGCTGGCTGGAGTTTGCTGGACACTTTAATTCCACCTAGTAACAAAGAGAATTCCTATTCCTCGAGGTCCCTTGGGGCAGCAGTTAAAGACTACACGATCCAGGAGCACCTAGGACCTGGGGCCACCTTCCTGCCTGCTTTATTGGATGGAGCACTGCCGCCCCAGTTTCTGGGGCACCTTGGGGTGTGGCCTTGGTGAGTGAAACTTGGGGTGATGCCTGCTGGGAAGGAAATCCGGAAACACAGAGAGGAGACTCTGGTGGTGACCCAGGCCTTGTCAGATCTGAGACTCTTGGAATCTTGTTTGTGGGGGTGTGGATGGTAAATGAATTTGGGTGTGCCTCCCTTTACCCCAAAACTGAAGAGGAAGCAAACCACTTGCCACACTTGAGGCTGCATGACCATTCAGAGAAGGGAGGAGCCACTTCTGAATTCAGAGTAGGACTGCATCACTAGGCAAATAGCTGTTCTGAGCCAGAAAGACTCTGGCTTCTGAGGAGATCCTGAGAGTCTGAGTAGTGCCAGGAAGCAGCCTCAGAATCTGGGGGCCCATTACACACCCCAGCCATGTTCCTGCGACGGCTTGGTGGCTGGTTACCTCGCCCTTGGGGCCGCCGGAAACCAATGAGGCCTGACCCACCTGAGCCAGAACCCCGATGGGTGGACAGCTCCTCGGAGAATTCAGGAAGTGACTGGGATAGTGCCCCAGAAACCATGGAAGATGTGGGGCATCCCAAGACCAAGGACTCAGGGGCATTGAGGGTTTCTAGGGCTGCTTCCGTACCAAGCACTGAGCCCCAAGTTGAGCAACTAGGGAGCAAAAGAATGGATTCCCTCAAGTGGGTCCAGCCTATCTCTAGCACTCAAGAGTCTGGGAGACTGGAGGGTGGAGGGGCCAGTCCCGAACTCGGATGGGATCATGTGGATTCAGGTGGCACCAGGAGACCAGGGGTGTTGCCTGAAGGGGGAATGAGCGTCCCTGGGCCAGGAGCCCCAGTGGAGAAACCTGGCAGGCGTGAGAAGCTGTTGGGCTGGCTGCGGGGGGAACCAGGAGCTCCCTCCCGGTACTTGGGGGGACCAGAGGAGTGTCTGCAGATCTCCACCAACCTGACCCTGCATCTGCTGGAGCTGCTGGCCTCTGCCCTGCTGGCCCTGTGCTCACGACCACTGCGGGCAGCCTTGGACACACTGGGCCTGCGTGGACCGCTGGGCCTCTGGCTACATGGCCTACTGTCCTTCCTGGCTGCCCTGCATGGGCTCCATGCTGTTCTGAGCCTACTTACTGCCCACCCTTTGCACTTTGCCTGCCTCTTTGGTCTCCTGCAGGCCTTGGTGCTGGCTGTCAGCCTCCGGGAGCCCAGTGGGGATGAGGAGGCCACTGATTGGGAGAGTGAGGGGTTGGAGAGGGAGGGTGAGGAGCAGAGGGGAGACCCAGGAAAGGGGCTGTGACCATGGGGTGGTGTGGGGGCAAAGGGTGAAGAGAGTGTGGGCTTTAGGAGAAAAGTGTGGGGCATGACCCAAATTGTAAGCATAGGGATCTCAGGGATGGGGAAGAAACCCCAGAGTATGAGGGTGTAGGGCCCCCCTTCATACATAGGAGAGAACAGAGCTATTTAGGGTGTTTGTGTTTATCGACAGTGAGGGCACTGCCCTTGGATTCACCAGCTGTTATTTTTGCTTTTAAATTTCTCCCACCTTCAGTTTTTTTTTTTCCACCTCCACTTTTTAAAAGCAAAAAAAAAAAAAAAAAAAAAAAAAAAGAAAAGAAAAAAAGTGTGGTGGTGGAGAATAAAGACCAAAGGGTTCTCTCTACCTTTCAAAACTTTCCTGGGGTACAGGAGACCAGAGCAGGATAGCAGTAAGAGAGGGGTTGGGACACCCAGGGTACTCCTTGGATCTCAGGATCTGAGCCACCAAGGGAAGAGTGGGACTGCTAGGCAAGTGGATTAGGGGGTCTGGATAGGGCCCCACAGGTGACAGGGAGCCTGCAGGGCGAATCTGGTGATCATGGGAGCCAGAGGGAGTGGGGACAGTGCAGGCAGTATTGGCAGGAGGGCCAATGCAGAAGGGCTGGTAGTTCAGGCAGTGTGGGGGAAGCACTGAAGCCTGTAGTCCCCACTTGGGGACTAGGGGTTTGCTCACTCAGCAATAAATGTGTCACATCAAATCCTAAATATACCACTACAAAGTGAGAGTTACTGCCACTCTGTTCTTCCTGACGCCGTCCACCTGGGGGTTTAGGTGGTAGAGGATCCAGGGGGAGTGTTGAAATGGGAGGAGTGGGAATGATGTCTGGAGACAAACCCCAGAATGAGATGAGGATTGAAAAATCATCTTTATTATCTTGAATGGGAGTTGGAAGTCTCCAGCTTCTCCCTTCAACAACTCAGCTCCCATTGTACCATCTGGGGACTTAGACGAAGTTACAGGTCAGTTACTGGGCAGCTCACAGGCCTCTGTGATGGGAGAAGGGAAAAAGAAGAGGACAGAAAGGAAGTCCAGGGAGAAAAGGAAAGTTGATAGTAATGGGGTGGAGAAGAATGTGTTCTTTCATTCCCTGTGTCAAAGGGGAGTCTCTAAGGGCCTTTTCCCTCCACGTATGACCCTCTGCCCCTTTTATCCAGTGCAAACTCTGAAACCTCTCTTGAGTAGCCCAGAACCCATCCTGCCTCCCTCAGGTGACATGACAGCTCTTAGCCACATCCCTCTGGTGACATCACACGAGCCTCTTTCACCCTGTAACCCCAGAAGACTTGGTGAGTCCTAATCCTGTTTTGTGAAACTTTAACACCTTACCTTGATTCCTAGGAGTCAGTAAGAAGGCTTTGGAATCCAGGCAGGAAGTCAGGGACTTGAATTCCTCCACACACTTTTTGGGAGGATGTGGTGAGCGATCTGGAAGGGCAAGGTGGGGCCAGGCCAGTCAAAACCCCTGGAAGCACCTAGCTCTTCCTGGGAGGATGTCATAGGATCCAGAGTGAGGAGTTCTCTTGCCCTCCCTTGTTTCCCTCCAACCCTTCCTGCCTTATATCCCTACTCACTGTAGAGGAGAAAGCGCTGGTAACCCTGGCCTGTCTCATTCAGCATGATTCCACCTGGGCATGAGCTGGAAAAGAGCTCAGTCTTCATGTCAGGGCGGCCTGTCAAGGTAGGTAGGAGAAGTGTGAGAACACAGATGCAGAACCAAGCTTCAAGGGACTTGGGGAGGGTGAGGGCTGGGAAGAACTAACCTTCAGTTCTGAGATCTGTGCTCCCTTCAGTCAGGTGGTAGATCCATTTCCGGGGCACACAGAGCCCATCTTTTCTGCAGAGGTGGTGGTGGCAAGGAGGAAAGAATGAGCATCACCCCAACCACTCTGGTTTTTTTTTTTTTTTTTTTTTTGAGACTGGGTGTCGCTCTGTAGCCCAGGATGGAGTGCAGTGGCGTGATCTTGGCTCACTGCAAGCTCCGCCTCCCGGGTTCACACCATTCTCCTGCCTCAGCCTCCCAAGTAGCTGGGACTACAGGCGCCCGCCACCATGCCCAACTAATTTTTTGTATTTTTAGTAGAGACGGGGTTTCACCGTGTTAGCCAGGATGGTCTCGATCTCCTGACCTCGTGATCCGCCTGCCTCAGCCTCCCAAAGTGCTGGGATTACAGGTGTGAGCCACCATGCCCGGCCTGTCCCAATTTCTATTTACTCAATTGTACTCCTTATTGAAGCCCAGCTCTCCTTGGGTTTCAAGCTACCAAGCATTGGTTAGGCACATCTCTCTCCAGAGGGCAATTAATACAGCCATTGAATTCTGTGGGCCAAGCATAGTAGATATATCAGCTAAGAGGCCAGCTCTTGGTGGGTGGATTATCACACTTTGGGCAGAGACTGAACCTAGTGATGCTTCTGCCTCCTCACCACTCACGTGCGGATGGTGGCACGAAGGTTGAGCTGCATCGGGGCAGAGCCAGCAGCCATGTTGAAGATAATGTTGTCCACAGGGTCAAAAGTTGCCAACTCCTCCTTGGTGGGAGCTGCCCCTGCGATAAAGTACCACTGGCCCAGGTGGACCTCTGGGAACTGGAGAGACAATGAAGGGAGCAAAAGAGGGTGGATGCCAGCACAGGATAGGTCCAACCTCTTCATCAGTCAGGACAGCAAGACTTAGGCGTAGAGGTGTTGGCTGCCTTCCTCTTTCCAACTTGGGATTGGATCCATGACAAAGAGTCATTAAATGACTTTTCCTCTTTGTCCCTCTCCAATCAACCTGGGTAATCACCCCACCCCCTAATTCTGCCATGCCTTTGCATTGATGGCCACAGTACTGATATTTTTCTTCTTGCTTTCATTATCACAACACTCACACCCCATTCCTCCCTTCCATTCCCAAGACGGTCTCCAGTCATTCTAGGCCATCCGCCCAAGTCCCTCAGAGCCTCCACCATAGGCTTCCCCAATCTCAGTCCATACCTCCTTCCCATCCATGCCCAGAGTTGTCAGTTGACTGTGCTCAGGGCACCGGTAGATGGAGTTAAGGATAACACCATAGAGGTAGAGCAGAGCTGCCCAAATTTGGCGGAACATCTTCAGGCAGGAGGGAGCTGGTGCTGTGTGTGCCTTAACTGCTCTCCCCTACTGGCTGCTCAGTCCACTCTGCTTTCAGCTCCCTTGCATTCGACCCTTGACCCTTTCACCTGCTAATGAGTAACTTCAACCTTGTTTTCCAACCCAAACCTGGATTACTTAGTATTTGGAACTTCCTCCCCCTCTTCCGGATGCAACCACTCCATACCATACCCTGGCATGTCCAGGGTTTCTCAGGAGTTATGACGAGAGCTGAGCTGTCCAAGGAGAAACCTGTGGTCTTTGAACCCATATCTGAGCTGGTTATTTGCTGCACTGTGCAGCACTGAAGGGAAGTAGTAGCTTGATTGGGCCTCTCAATCATTCACTTGGCAAACTATTTTGAGTCCCAGTTGTTTCCCAAGAACTAGCTAATCCCTGGGGACATTAAAAAAATGAGTAAGACATAGCCCCTGGCCTTCAATAAGTCGTTCTAGGGAGAACTAACTGTGTAGACAAACCATTGCAATACAACTTGGTAAGTGCTTTAGAACAGGTATGATGCAGGTGTATGATGCAGGTGCTGGGGCATGGTGGATTGCTCTCTTCAGTTTATAATTAGAAAAATATGTATACCCTGGCAATGTTCACTAACACATTCACTCAACATTCATTACTACAAAGAGGCTACATAATCTGTTAAAAGAGGATAGATGTTGGTGTCAGGCAGAATGTGTCCAAACCCTAACTACAGGCGGGGCATAGTAGCTCATGCCTGTTATCTCAGCACTTTCAGAGGCCACGGTGTGCAGATGGCTTGAGCCCAGGAGTTCAAAACCAGCCTGGGTTACGTGGCAAAACTCTGTCTCTACAAAAAATACAAAAATTAACCGCATGTGGTGGTACATGCCTGTAGTCCCAGCTACTAGGGAGGCTGAGGTGGGAGGACTGCTTGAGCCTGGGATGTCGAGGCTGCAATTAGTCCTGATTGTGCCACTGCACTCCAGCTTGGGCGACAGAGTGAGACTCTGTCTCCAAACAAACAAACGAAACACCACCAACCCCTAACTACTATGTCTGTTTTTTCGTCTGTAAAATTGGCAAATCATCAATCTTATAGGATTAAATGAAATAATGCACATAAAGCCCTTAGCAAAGACCTGCACATGGTAAGTCCAAAGTATATATTTGCTATAATTAATAGTAATGTTTGCAAAACTCTTAGTTTCTGATGGGTTCTCAAATAATAGGCAGTAAGAATTGCCAAATAGGCTGTCATTGAATAGCACCAAGTGACTGGAGCAGTTAATGCTGTGAGAGGTGGGGCTTCCTCAACAGATTATTTATTTACTTATTTATTTTTAAGACAGGGTCTCACTCTGTCGCCCAGGCACGATCACGGCTCACCGTGACCTTGACTTCTCGGGCTCAGATGATTCCCCAGTAGGAGCTACAGGCATACGACATCACGCCTAGCTAATTTTTCGTAGAGACAGAGTTTCACCATGTTGCTCAGGCTGGTATTAAATTCCTGAGCTCAGGCAATCGGCCCGCCTCGGCCTCCTAAAGTGTTGGGATTACAGGCATGAGCCACCACACCTAGCTTGATAAATTTATATCCCATGGACTGCCACAAAAAATTTGCCGAGGGGTGAGGCTTGCGATTTACTTAAAAAACAAACAAAATTTGGGTGACTGGTATATTAGAATTCATTATACTATTTTATTTTGGTGTAATGTTTGAAAATTTTTTTTTTTTTTTGAGACAGTCTTGCTCTGTTGCCCAGACTGGAGTGCAGTGGCGTGATCTCGGCTCACTGCAACCTCCACCTCCCAGGTTCAAAGCAATTCTCTGCCTCAGCCTCCCGAGCAGCTGGGATTACAGGCGCTCGCCACCACACCAGGCTAATTTTTGTATTTTTAGTAGAGACGGGGGTTTCACCATCTTGGCCAGGCTGGTCTTGAACTTCTGACCTCATGATCCACCTGCCTCAGCCTCCCAAGTGTGAGTCACTACACCGGGCTGAAAATTTTTGTAATAAAAAGCTAAAACGTGGTTAGGCACAGTAGCTCACACCTGTAATCCCAGCACTGTGGGAGGCCAAGGTGGCAGAATTGCTTGAGGCCAAGTGTTAAAGACCAGGCTGGGCAACATAGCGAGACCTCATCTCTATAAAAATAAAATTAGCTAAGTGTGGAGGTGCGCATCTGTGGTCCCTACTACTTGGGAGGCTGAGGTGGGAGGATCGGTTGGGCTCGGGAGGCAGAGGCTGCAGTGAGTTGTGATTGAGCTAGTGTACTCCAGCCTGGGCGACAAAGCCAAACCCTCTCTCAAAAAAATACATAAAAAAGCTAAAATGTAACACTTTTTTATTGGGGCAGTAAAGTACAAGTGCTCGATCTGGAGTCCTATTGGCCTCGATTTGTCAATTCTGACATTCATGTTCGTCTTAGTGTACTCACCTAAAAAATGTTAAAGGCTTATGTTAAAAGGCTTTTTAAAATAATACACAAGGCCTGCCCCTTGTAATCCCAGCGTTTTGGAAGGCCGAGGCGGGCGGATCACGAGGTCAGGAGATCGAAACCATCCTGGCTAACACGGTGAAATCCCGTCTCTACTAAAAATACAAAAAATTAGCCGGGCGTGGTGGCGGGCGCCTGTAGTCCCAGCTACTCGGGAGGCTGAGGCAGGAGAATGGCGTGAATCCGGGAGGCGGAGGTTGCCGAGATCGCGCCACTGCATCCAGCCTGGGCGACAGAGCGAGACTCCGTCTCAAAAAAAACAAAACAAACAAAAAACCCCCATAAAACCCGTAGTATATCGGCTGGCACAAGTGCTCATTAAACAGATGCTTATTAGAACTCTTAACTAAAACATAACCAGGACCTGGGTATAAACTATGAATCCCAGAAAGGTTGGGCACCCCAGCAGCGATGTGTCTTTCGGGAGGACTCGAAGTTTCGCAGGGCCGAGGCCCTTGTCCCAGGGCAGGTTAAGAGGGCACGGAGAGGCGGTAATGCCTCCACCCCCGGCCTTCGGAAGCACGCTGGCCGGCCTTTAAATTCTCCACGATCAGGGTCTTGTCTTTTGTCCACTCCGACTCCATCTGCTCCCAATTCTCAAACTCGGAGGCGCCTCTTTTCTTGACAAAAATCCTGCAATGTAGTACCACGCTTAGTTTTCCTAAAACGTGTCTTGTCCCCTTGGCCACACACCGCCGGAGACGAATGTGACGCCCACAGCCCGCAAAACGCCCACCCGGCGGAACCGAAATCTAGCCCAACCAAACAACCAAGAACAAAATCGCCCCGTGCCGCCCCCAAACGCCTACTGTAAGAGTAACTTCCGGAGGCACAGAAGAAAGGGCGCAGCGAGGGCGAAAAGGTGGAGAAGAGTTTTAGCTAGCTAGGACAGTGCCGCCTGAAATTCTCAGCCTGCCAAGATTTAAACATAGATTAATGTGGCATAATCCCCCATCTCCAAAGTCCAAGGTCCATACGACCGTCCATAGCCCCTCTCCAAGCAGTGGTAGAGTCCCAGTTGGTGATTGTTTTTCAGGCATTTACGGTAGCCACCTCAATCTTCTAGAGCTCAAGCGCGCGCACAGACGTGAACGCCGCCGAGGGGGTTGTGGGGGAGGGGGGGGCGATGCTTAAGTGTCTACGCAGGCGTAGTGCGACACACGCAGGCGTAGTACGGTCCCCCGGGCGACGGCGGCGGCGGCTCCTCTGGGTGCTCGGCTCCCTCCCACCTAGGCCGGCCCCGGCCCGACTCGTCCTCAGAAACTCACTGTTTGGGGCTGCGGACTTTCTCGTCGTGCCCCACAAAAGTAAAGCTTGGGGACCTGGGGGGAGCCGGAAGTATCGCCTCGAGATCCCCAAATACTATCGGGGAAACGGAAGTGGCCGTCGGTGGCAGGTTTGGGGGAGACCGGAAGTGACGGTCCGTGGGGAAGTCGGGGGCGGAGCCGCGGGGTAGTGGGGGTGTGTGTGTGTTTGTGTGTTTGTATTTGGCTGTGGGTTAGTTGTGCTGTTCTGCTGGAACACCGTGGGAAGGCAGGAGACGCGGGCAGTCAGCTAGCAGGTCGGTGGCCCCGTGAGTGCCATTTCGGGTCTAGTGAGTTAGGAGGGTTCGATGGGCGTGGCGCGCGTGCGCTAAACCACTTTCCCCGCCGAGTGTGGCGCGACCACCGCTTTCGCCTAGTCCCAGGATTTTCCGACCTCTGGGGTGCTTGTCCTGCGGTGACCGGTGATGACACTAGTCTCTGGTCTCGTGCTTCCTTCCTAATCTGACTGGCTCCACGCTTATTGTGATTGGCATCGTGGAGCCCCTCCCACCTCTCGTCCTCCAGCTCCCTATGCCGTCGATCTCCTGCCCTTTTGTGTTTCTCTCCCTGCGCCCCAGAATCAGAAGGGGGATGGGGACAGGTGTGAATGTGTGTGTTTGTGTACGAGAAACTTTTTAGGTATTGGGGCAGGGATTAACGCTAGGGAGTCTTCCGGGTACACTCTGCTGGGCAACAGCGGGCCTCCCTTCCTTCGTTCTTCTTTAGAGACCTGTCGGCCATGGAGCCTAATGATAGTACCAGTACCTCTGTGGAGGAGCCTGACAGCTTGGAGGTGCTGGTGAAGACGCTGGACTCTCAAACTCGGACCTTTATTGTGGGGGCCCAGGTGAGACACCTCAGTAGTTCTGGAAGACACCTTTAGCTTTTTTTCCTCGTTTAGGCTCCTTAGCCTGAGAGGTGAGCCTGATTTTTGGTGATCAGATTTTCTTTCTTTTCTTTTTTTTTTTTTTTTTTTTTTTTGAGATGGAGTCTCACTCTATCTTCCAGGCTGGCGTGCAGTGGCGCGATCTTGGCTCACTGAAACTTCCACCTCCTATGTTCAAGCGATTCTCCTACCTCAGCCTCCTGAGTAGCTGGGATTACAGGTGTGTCCCACTATACCCAGCTAATTTTTGTATTTTTAGTAGAGACGGAGTTTCACCATGTTGGCCAGGCTGGTCTCGAACTCCTTACCTCAGGTGATCTGCCCTCCTCTGCCTCCCAGAGTGCTGGGATTACAGGCATGAGCCACCATACCTGGCCTCAGATTTTCTTTTTATTGATCCCTTCGTATTCCAGTCGAACGTTTTCTGATGTTTTGTGAGTGAGGCTGATTTTGTTCTGTCCTCCACATGGATAGAACTTAATGCAGAGGGAAAAACAGAGGAAGGAAGATGTGTGTCATCATCACGTGTGGACCCCAACCCAAAGGGACAGACATGGCTCTGGCCTTTGGGAAGGAAAACAGCACAGGGACCCTAAGCAAGTGTGTGTGATTGATAGAAAGCAGTCAGGTTTATGCTGTGTTTTTAAAGGGCAGAAATCAGAACCTATACTGGAGATAGATCCTTGATAGACTGTTGAGTGAAATTACTAATTTTGGTGTCACATCTTGGGTCTCTTGAGCTTAAAGCCTTGGACACAGTTATCTATGTCTTTTTTTTTTTTTTCTGAGAGGGAGTTTCGCTCTTGTTGCCCAGGCTGGAGTGCAATAGCACGATCTCGGCCCACTGCAACCTCCGCTTCCCAGGTTCAAGTGATTCTCCTGCCTCAGCCTCCCTAGTAACTGGGATTACAGGCATGTGCCACCATGTCCGGCTAATTTTGTATTTTTAGTGGAGATGGGGTTTCTCCAAGTTGGTCAGGCTGGTCTCAAACTCCTGACCTCAGGTAATCTGCCTGCCTCGGCCTCCCAAAGTGCTGGGATTATAGGCATGAGTCACCACACCCGGCTCTAGCTATCTATGTCTTTATTTCTGTAATACTTGGAGACAAATTGCATGTGGGGTGGTCCATGGTTTTCT